CTCTTTAAAATTAATTAAAACATATATATCTAAAAATAATGTAATAGGTTTTGGAAAACTTTTCACCCACTGAGAAAAGATACTAAATAAAAAGCATATGGATGAGAAAAATGGATCTACCAAATAGGTCAGTGTCTCAAAGTGTGGGCCTGTAGGTCACTGACAACACTGCTACTTTAAAAATGAGCCCCTGCTCGTTCCAGATGCCCAGGAAGGACTCTGCTTTGTTTTTCTTTCTGGCATTTATGTAATGTTGTTATTGGAGAATTCACATCAATGATCCACTATCCTTGGTCTGTGTAATTCTTTATTGAATTCATTTCCATTGAAGCAGTAATATTTATATCTGCTTTGTTCAGTCAGGTATTAGTAGCAAAATCTTGCATGAGGAATCAGAAATTCTTGCAGCAGTATGCCTAATTCATTTGGGTTGCCAACCGAGAGATAGCTGGATAATCACGTCTTCGTCACACATGTGGGCAGTGTGACTGGTGATAATACCGTGCGGGGTTCTTGCAGATGCCTCAGCAAAATCGGTAATGTCATGGACTCACTCTTCATCGAGTGAAAAGACAGCCTGTGCGAGCTGGATCTTTCAAAATTGAGTTTCATGTTCAAAATTCAACTTCAGCCAAAACAGATGGCTTCCACTGGCCCATTTCTGAAACCTGCATCTTGATAGGGCTTTTATTTTTAGATAATCATAAATCTTAACATTTAGCTTTATTTTTATAGAATTAATATTAATTGTAGCAGTTCTTCTAAGTCTCTTTATAGACAGAACTAACAATGGAAAAATATCTGGGAGAGCTCACATCAAAGAAAAATCTAATGAAAGCGTGTGTTTTTTTAATACAGATCATTAGTCAGAGAAGTGAAACAAATGTTGTCTTCTTGTTAAAGCGATTACCTCACCTCTTTGTTGAAAACATGAAACTGCTGAGAGTTACAGTCTATCATTTTTATAAAATATTAGTTGTTGAAGAGTGAGTCTCTAGCAGGCATTCCAAGTTATTTTTTCCTATTCGCTCAAATCCAAAATATTGCTCATCTAAACTTTGTTAATCACTGTTACAGTAAGTCTGAGACTGCGAGACGCCCAGTAATTCATAACTGTCTCGGGACTTCTTCACCTTAAGGTCGGTCACTCAGTTCCTGAGCTGGCGATCAGTAACAAGAAAGCACCGTCTGCTGTAACGGCATGGAATTAATAAAAAGGAAAGCAAGAGATTTTATTTCAAAAATCTGTCTGTAAAGCCACCAGGTTTCTAGCACTGCTTCTTCTTTGCCATCCATCACCTCATTTTTGGAGGGAAATAAGGTGCTGGTGAGGTTCCCCACCCCGAAAAGTAGCCCTGATAAGCACAGCAATGGCACAACGTGCTCTGGGAGCAGAGGGGAGGGGCCCTGAAATCTGCAATGAGAGGAGCTATGGAAGGTGCCACAGAAGAAGTGGCCCCTGGATCGACTCCTGAGAAGCCAGAGGAGCTTTGAGCAAAGCAGGTAGGGGGGAGAGTTTCTAGTGGAGGAAGGAGTGTGCACCAAGTCAGCAAGAAATTGAAGACCATGGGGTCTTCAAAGAACTCTAGTATGCTGGTGGGGATGGAGCATTTATTGGGAAGGAGGCTGGCTGAGAACGGGGGCCAGACTGGCAGCCAGGAGCCAGATGATGAAGGGCACTCTGTGCTCTCTGAAGGCGCATGCTTGGTATTCTCCAGCCAAGAGGAGATACTGAGCATTCTGAGCAAGAGGATGTCACCAACAGGGTTGCAGTTCGGTAGAGAACAGATTAGAGGGAGGGAGGCAAGACTGGAGATTAAAAAAAAAACAACAATTAGTGTGAGCATCAGGAAAGTTAGATAAAAGGATATGATGGGAGGAGTGGGGGTGGAAGAGAAGAGAAGGGTGACTAAGGTTTCTGGTTTGCGTGACTGGTTGGATTTTTACTGAAGGGAATATAGGAGAAATGGAGGAGATGTGAGGCGGGAGTAGTAATAAGTTCATTTATTATGAACATGTCCAACAGTTATTAGATAAATGTCTCTAACGGATGGAGGTTGACCCTGGAGGAAGGCTGGGAAATCAGTATAAAAGTGGTAATGGAAGCATTTCTGAGTTTCTTTCCAGCCCTTATGTCCTATAGTTTGATGAGTAGTGTAATCTCCTGACAAATGTCTATCCCAGAAAGTCTAAAATTAGCAGTGGCCTGTGTCAAGTGATTTGATGACACATGCGGTTACTCCTCGCATGGTTGTGATCAGTAAATAGCTGTAATCCCAGCCTCATGCTGACATTGAAAATCTATCAGAACAAATCTATGGAGTGTCTTCTTTGTGTTTAATAGAGGCAAAAAAAAAATGGAAGGCTAAGAGATGAAAGATTTCTCACTAAGGTCAGGAAGTACAGTTTAGGAGGAAGACAGTGTAGTTTAGTAGGTTTCAGACTTGATAAGTTTGACATTACAGCAGAAGATCAAATGGATAAATGGATGACTTCGAATATGAAGGATCCTGGCTGGAGAGGAGGAATTGGGATTCATTCTGAGGACCTTGGTCTTTGCAGTTGGGAAGGTGCGGAAAGGGTGGAGAGGGGAGGACTGAGGCCTGAGCCCTGGCAGGCGCCACCTTCATTCAGGCTGTACCAGGTGAGGGCCAGCCATAATGGTTACAGGTAGAATGAGAACAATGGTTTGTCCGGTTATGAAAAGAGAGAGTTCTATAAAGGAGGGGGTGTTGACCAGATGTGGAGGTCAAGGGTGATGGTGACTGATTGGCAAATGATCATGGGATTTAATGATGGGTCTGTCGATGGTTTTTCTGAGGGGTTTTGAGAGATAGAGTCAGGAAGTAAGTCATTAAGGATTAGGAGGAATAGTAATAGTAATAATAACAGCTGACACGTACTGGATGCTTCCTATGCTACATGCCAGGCAATGTTCTAAAAGTAACATTTTATGTGTGTTATTTTGTTTAATCATCACAGTGATTCTAGAAACACACCCATATTATTGTTATTAATATTAGTATCATTGCTATTATTTTATTTACTGGTAAGCTATATTAGGAAATAAAGGCAACGATTGTAGACAGTTTTGTGGGGTTTTGTGGGGGTTTTTTTGTAGACATATTACAGTGGTAGAAAGAATGGAAAAGCACAGTGGGTGACATCATGGTCAAGCTTTTCCAAGGCAGTGAGGGAAGGGGATGGGGGGGGAGGGGGTGTATAGTGGAAGATGCTGAGTAGGTTGGACTCCAGGGAAAAGGGTGGGGCTGGGAGAAAGGCCCCAGGCTTGAAAGTCTTCTTTGAGTTGTGAAAATTAGGAAAACTCTGATGCAGTCACTCATATTTTGCAATTCAAAAAGTGAGACAGTCTCTGAACGTGATGGTGTCAGTGTTGGAACATCAGGAAGGGAAGTGAGACAGCTGCAGAAAATCGCTGAATTTTTCCTTAGAAAAGTTCTTGGAATCAGCTTAAAAAGAATAAAACAAGAAAAGCTCAATTTTATTAACATTAACTCTCAAAAACCAAATTCTGTCAAGTGCAATTTAGCCCATCATTTCCTTTATCATTTGTTTTCTTGTTTCATTATTTGAACATAAAAACACTACCTTCTACCAGATTTGGATACAGTCATTGCATTTTTTTAACTATTTCTCCCAAAACCTGTATTTTGGGACTGTGAGGTCCAGAGGCGGACAGGACAGAAGGGAGTGCACAGTAAACAGGAGGTCAGAAATGAAATAATGGCAGGGAAACTTAAGAAGAAGATAAAGAAGAACTATATCTAGCAGTCCTTTTGTGACTTTGTCATTAAGGCATCACTTTTATGAGAACACTAGAGGTCTGGTGCATGAAAATTCATGCACTGGAGGGGGGGTGTCCCTTAGCCTGGCCTGCCCCCTCTCACAGTCCGGGAGCCCTCAGGGGATGTCCTACTGATGGCTTAGGCCCATTCCCCAGGGGGAGTGGGCCTAAGCCGCAGTCTGGCCTCCCTCTGCGGAGGCGACCAGGATGATCAGGGGAAGGCACCGCCTCTATCACCCTGCTGCTGCTGCCATTGCCAGTTGCGGTGGCTACAGTGAGCCCCGGGCTTTGCAGCTGCCTGAGCCCACAGCTGCTGTGAGTCCCGGGCCTTGCAGCCACTGTGGCTTTGTCCGGATGGACGTCTGGATGGACATCCAGAAGACGTTCGCCCAAATTAGCATATTACCCTTTTATTAGTATAGATTTTTATTAATGGGGGGCAAGGAGAGGCCAGGGACCACTGCCTATCACAAAGTTTATACAGAACAAAATGGATTTACAAGTTTGGCCACTGGCTGGTCAGGTGGAGCAGCATTAACATTGAAGACCTTGAGTGGCTACAATGAGTTCAGTGGCTACACCGCTGGACTCATCAGATTCTCTGTCCCTTCCCACTCCCTCTTCCCTGCTCTTCTTCCCTCTTCCTCCCCACTTCCCCTCTCTCTCCTTTTCTTCCCCTCTGCTTTCTTCCTCTCCTCTCCTCCCCCCTCCTTCTTCTCTCCCCTCTCTTGGGAATACTGGCTAGACTTGATCAAGGTCATCCATGGAGTTGAGTAACCATTGCCCAGGCAGGCAGCTGCTTCTTTCAGCCCCCAACTCTGCAGATAGAACGGTTTAGTATTTACCACAGTCAACACAGGTGGCAGTACCTTCCCATATGTCCCCTTTAGAGAGAGAGACAGTTCTCCTTCAAAATAAAGAATTAAAAACATTGAGAAAATAACTGAGTGTGACCATTGTAGCCATTGTTTCCGTTTGAAAACATTTCCTGAGAAAAAGTAAATGTTTTCTCCTAGAACCCAGTGTTTTGTCTAGTAAGACATTTCCATCAAAACATTTTATTGCTGTGTAAAATGTTTTTAAAGTTCACTCTGTGTAACCATGATCATGTCATACTAACCGGGGTGTGTGGAAGCGCCTGTGTATCCATTCCTACCTGGTGTTTGTCAGTCTGTGTTTTGTGTCTTTTTTGCAGATATTGATGAGTGTGTAAACAACACTGTCTGTGACAGGCACGGGTTTTGTGACAATACGGCCGGCTCCTTCCGCTGCCTCTGTTATCAGGGCTTTCAGGCCCCGCAGGATGGGCAAGGGTGTGTGGGTGAGTTTTTAGACTTTTTTTCCCCCCAACACGCTTCCTATCTCCGCATGGAAAAGAAACCAAAGCTATCAACAACAGGAGAGACTACCAGCAAGGTAATCCAGACAGAATTTCATCGCGATTGGATGTTGTCACACAACGTGGGGATGTACGAAAAGGTCCTATGGCTTCTGAAATGGCTAGGGACATTAAGAAGTATAGACATGTAACTTTGAATTGAGACGTGTAGTAGGGAGAACATCTGTTTAAGCTCTTAGCTGAGTGTGCAGAACTCTCAAGCCCCTCCTGCACCGGAAACAGAGTCTGGTGTGGGGCAGAGCTTGCCTGTCTTCACTGGGCACCTCCTCAGGCAGTGCCTGTAAGGAGGGGTGTTGGCAGGAGTTTCAGTTTCCAGGAATGACACCCAGGAGCGATGCGTTGGAATGTGCAACTGCATTTCTTCACTCCTCTGATGGACGGCGAAGGAATCTTGAATGTCATCAGATGTCCTAGGACATGGCCCGGCACATGCGCATGAGAAGAGGGGATGTTGCATTTCATTTTCTGACCAGCTGTGGTTTCTTTAAATCAAATTCATTATGAAGCACATTTATAACATAGAGCAATTCAATGGGAAAGAGAAGAAAGGTTCTTCAATTAAAAACTTCCCAGATAGCTAGGTGTTTTCTTGATTCTTCTTAATTAAGAAAAATAGCTCTGTTCATTCTGTGGCAAATTTGCAATGAAAGCATTCATTCAGGTCCCATCCAGATCTAACTGGGAAGACAAAACCTAGGCATTTGGAAATTTAATGAAAAAATCACTTGACTAATAACTGCTTTTGAGGTAACACTGTCATCATCGCTACTGCCAGTTGCTGCTTTAGTCTCCATTGCACTGAAATGCCAGCGATGAAAGTCATCTGACACTCACCAAATATTGTGACTAAGTAGGTCATGTGACCTGACCCCCACTTACCTTCTCAGCCTCACCTTGTCTCTCCTCACCTTCTACGCTCCAGCCACGTAAAACTGCTTGCGCTTGCTCGTGGGACTGTGCAGTTCCTTGGCTGTTGTTTGCTCACTCTGTTGAGAATGTCCTCCCAAATTCCCCTTCCCAGAGCCTGAACTCACTCCACTCATTGCCGGAGCTAGAGCTAGAGGAGAGATGCCATCTCCTCCCACACACCAATCCTGTGCCACCTCTCACTCTCCAACTGAGCTGTGACCCTCCTCCTGCTTCCAGAATACCTTGAGCAAATTCTATTACAGAACTGACACCCTTTTGGGGGGAATAGTTTAATCACATGTGTGCTGCCAGCAGCCCCCTTCTCCAAGGCAGTGAGCGCCATGTGATTGAGAACTTTCTCTCTCCACCGGTTTGGCCTGACATGGGTGCTCGGTAAATATTGTTTAACTGTCACTTATTGGGATCTCAAGCCACCGACTTCACACAGCTCTCAAACCTCATTTCTAGGCAGCCAGATGAATTCACTGAGCCCGTGTCGATGTTTCATTGTGGCACACAAAACGCCACCCTTAGTAAAGAAATCGTTTTCATCATTTTAGGGAACTCAGCAGGTGTCCTTTTGTCTGTGTATGCATGCCTTCAAAAATATTAACTGAGCACCTATCATGTGCAACTCACCACACTGGTGTTCTGTAGGATGTAAGGGGTGAATCAGCCTTGATACCAACCGTTGGCCACGCTGTTTCTTCTACTAGGATCCTGACTGCCTCCCCCCACCTCCACCCCCTCTTATCACCTCTATATCCTTCAGATAGAGCTCCCTCCCAACCATTTCCCTACCCACCCTGCACCGAAGGCCCACTGTCTTGTGCTTTCATAGCGCTCTGTACTGTTTGTGCTTGGCACTTATCACGGCCTATCTGCTTATCTGATTAACTTCCCTGACTTGACTATAAGCTTCATGAAGTCAGGAGTTGGGCCACCTGACTCATGGTTTTTCCCCCCAGTGCCTAGGCCCCTAGAAGTCAACTAGAAAATATTTTGGGGTTGAATGAATGCAGCCTGATGGGGGAGCCCTGTAAATAGCACCAGTTGGAAAGTCCAAAGTTCCATTGGACATTGACCTAAAACCAATCAATGTGAACTGGCATATTTCTAAAGTCAGTTCTTCTGGTCTAAATTATGACTGTCTAGGTTGATTAAATATACTAACTCGTTGCTTTACTTTATGTTGCAGTATCTTTTAACAAGCGAAACCCAGCTCGTTTAGGTTTTTATCTGTTTATATACGCAGTGAAATGGAAAACTGAGTAATTATTCAAATAAGTCAAGATACATAAACTTTGTGTTCAATTAACTGAGCAGAGCAGGTGAAAACAGGATCTGTTTTCTGAGGGGTTTGGCGAATTGCTCAAATGTTTAACTTTGTATAGGCGGCCTCAGAGTGTCCTCCTGCAAGCCGCTGTTGCACAGGGGGAAGGCGTAAAGCGCATGAGCATTTCAGGTGTCAGCCAGGGGCTCTGCTGCATGGGGCCTTCATTCATAACATTTCTTAGGAGGAGTAAAGGTGAGAGGTAGTATTGGGCCAGGTCGAACATCACATTAGGCTTTCTTTTGGGCTGTGCACTTGCATAACGTTGAATCAGACACACTCACCAGTAGATTCCTTGGCTGTGGAACACCCACAGGATTTTCAAAGGCAGGGCGAAACCAGTGAGGAGTCATCGAACCAGTTTGTTGTATGTGAGTGATTCATGGGACCCAGTGAATACTTACGGGGTCTTTACACAGCCTGACTGCTGGTTGTTAAATGATGGATGTCTTGGCTGCTAGGAAATGATTTTCAGACGTTTAAGTGGATTTAAAGCCATTTCTTAAAAATGAATTTAAAGGGGTGTATGGTTTTCAAAGTGCCAGTGATGGTGATTTTCCTTGAATTAGGGACTGAGAGGAAGAGTGTGGGTTATGTAAGACCTCGTTATGTCAGTAAGTTAGGGAGGCGAAAACTAAAGCATCAAAGGTGCGTAGGATGCTTGCAGCACAGTTCTGGGATGTTCCTTAGAGCCAGAATTGGAATTTGGAAACTTCGCTTTGCATTTTCATGGCTCTTTCATACAAACCAAATGCACAGCCCTACCTTGAGGGGCAGCAGGGCTCGACTGCTCGCTGGGGGTCCTGGTTCTCAGCCAGTGCCACCAGCCTCGGCACAGCTGGTCAAGCAAAGGAGTGAGGCCCCCGTCTGACTTGGTCTGTGCTCCCTTTTCCAGATGTGAACGAGTGTGAACTGCTCAGTGGCGTGTGTGGCGAAGCCTTTTGTGAAAACGTGGAAGGCTCCTTCCTGTGTGTGTGCGCGGACGAAACCCAGGAGTACAGCCCCATGACCGGGCAGTGCCGCTCCCGGGCCCCCGGGGGTAAGTCACGGGGCCCCTGTGGAGGGGGGCAGGGCTCCTCTCTGGGATCGGTACGTGCATTGGTTTGGGCCAAACACTCTGCAGTGAGGTAAGAAATAACCAAATGTTCTGGCACACGCTGTCCCTGGAAGCTTCTGTGCTCTTCCCAGCCCGCCTTATCAGTGGATTTAGGAGGCGGGTGAGGACTAGGTGGTCCCTCCTGTGCTTTCCAACCCAGAGGTGCCATGACTTAGGGTGCGGGGTCCAAAGTGATGAGAGCATTTACTGGGAATTGCTTAAAACTCAGAGAGCCATCGCTTGGGGTCTCACAAGCATCATCTCATTGTGTTGTATAACCCTTCTCTCCCGGTCCTCGGAGACGTGTATCTTGACATTTCTCTAAATGAGGAGCAACATATAAGCCTTTCAGGATCTACAAAGATTTCCACTTGGAATTCTTGAGGTATTTTCCCAGAATTTGGCCTAGAGAGCGGCTGTGTTTGCATTCATTTAAGATTTCATCTGGGCTGTCGTCAATGGCACGCATTGCAATGGAGAAATGATGCTTTTCCAGATAAATTCATCAACTTCCAGATCGCCCTTGTAGTTTGTGCCATGTCGCCATAGCTTGGTTGTGTTTTAAGAAAAGCAAAAGACTGAGTGGTCCTTTGAGAGCCGGCTAAAATGACACGCAGACCACTTTGCTTTCTTGCTCAGTCTCAGTTGATTTTATCCACGTTTCTAAGAAAGCTCTCACTGTTCCATCACAGGGTGCACGTGTTCTGGGTAAAATAATTGTCTTTGCAAGTAGTAAGGAGGAAAATCTAAAAGTACATGTTTTCATCCACACACGCTTGATTTCTCAGGGATTAACTACAGGAAGTGGGGAGTGCAGATTTAAATGAGCAGACAGTAATACACGGGCATTGCGAAGGGGAATAGAGTGTTTCTGGAGGGAGGGGCTGCTCTCCATTCAGAGACTACAACACATCATCTTAATAGCAAAAAACAAACACAAACAAAGCATCAAAAACCTGGTTGGCCAATAACGGGATGGATTAAGTAACTTCTTCTTATTGATCTTTGGTTTTATGGAGTAACACCTCACCCGTTGTATTATTTTGACTGAAATAATTCGCATGTCATAATATTTGTATGGTCATTAAATGAACTATATGAAGATCAGGTGGTCATGATAAATGCATGTGATACAATGCGAAGGAAAAAAATAAGATATTCCAGTGATCACAGTCTGTGGAGGGAGGGAAGGGGGTAGAATACATAAAACGATTGTTGGAATTAATGAAACGTTTACTTTTTCCATTTATTTTCCAAACTCTTTGTAAGACTGTAAATTGGAATGGCCGGGGCTCTGGTCTGCTAACAACTTTCCAGCTGTGTGAGCTTGGGCTTGTCATTCAACATCTGTGAGTTCTGATTTTCTTACCTGTGAAATAGGAAGGTTGTATTTACCTCAGAGGGTTTCGGTAATTTTTTTAAAAAAGTATATATGTAGTAGCCCTTCATCAATGGCAAAGTACTATATAAAGTAAAGTCATCAAGTAGTAAGCTATAATGCAAACCCTTAAGGGATGTCTATTTCTCATCCTTTGATGAGCTCTTCTGAAATGGTGCACCTTTTAACTGCAAATATTTTTTCTTGCTAGGATGTTTTAGTAATGTCAAGAAATGGTTCATTCAGTTCACATAGCTTCAGTTAGATTATCTGTCTGGGATCCTAAAGCTTGCTCATGTTTTTTTAGAGTTGTAACAATGGGGTCATTGTCCGTCAGAACCATTTTTGGTGAACCGGACTAGTTTACTGACAACTACTTCCTAAAACTTTACATGATTATTTTTGTAAGCCTTGTTCCTCACCTGTTTTTTGTTTTTCTGTAACTAAGTCCCTTTGCCTTTTCCCTCCCTGATTCTCTTTTCTCTCTCGTTGATAAACTCCCTTTCTGGAAAGTTCTTCTCCTGCTTTTTCAAAGAACATTATTTTGAATACGCAGCTTAATAAAGCTTGTCTGCCAATGAATACATACTTTTACCTTAACATTATATCTAACGCTTTTATTTATGGGTTTCTTGTATATTTTCCCCCATAGTTCTCTGGCTTCTGCTAAATCCTCTACATACCCAGTTGTTTCATTGGTTTATATCAATATAATCTAACTAAACAGTAACTGGTGAGTCTTACTAATTTCTATAGTTCCTGGTATCTCTGACTTCTACCAGACCTCAATTTGTATAGATCTTGGAAAACTTGATTATATGGACTTTTAAGTGTCCCGAGAGACAGGTCAGCTATAAACTCTAGTGGGAACCTTCTCCCTGACTTCAGAGCCAATAATTGATCAGTTGTTTGAAAACGTTGATTAAAGCTGAAAATCATAAAAAGGAGAAGACATATTTTAAATACTTAAAATTCAACTTAAAGCATGTAAATGTAGATTCACTCACCAATCTTTGAGGAAGGGCCAAGGTCTGGCTTTGAGTAGAAGTTCACTGTTAAGAGTTCTGCCTGGCTTGTCTTGCTTGAGCCATATCTATGATGCATTATCTCCACTGCCAACATTAAAGGGAGTAAGAATGCAAAAACCTTTGCAGAAGTAAATGAGTGGAACATTCCTCTGGATTGTTGCGGTTTTTCTCAGTTTTTTTTTTGCAGTTGTCTTATCCATACCCATTTGATAGCATTCTTTTAACTGAACAAACTGTAGTCTTTCTAAAACTTTAACGTGTTCTAGAAACAACTCTTCTACTCACATTTGTATTTTATTGGTTTATATACTATTTGATTATGGAACTACAGTAATCAACACACTGGCACACAATGTTTGAGAATAAATGTAGCTGAGACTTGGTCAACATACTGGTCAACATGTAAGATCAGAAGTAAAGTAGACCACCCCCCCCCAAGAACCGCCGACTGGCCATGAGCATTCTACCCGCCGTGAGCATTAGCCAGGATGTTTCTCAGGGCACCAGAGGACATCGGCTAATCCAACAAGTGGGTTAAATGGAGGCCAGTTAAGAGTTGTATTCCACTGCAGCCAGAGAGTCTGCTGTTACATAAAACGAAACATCTTATGCCAGGTCTAAGTTTTTAAACAAGGATTCAAATGAACTTTATTATATCCATGATAGGCTAACAGACCTCATCCTTCGTGAAAAGTGTTTAAGAAGGGGGAGATAAAGTTGCCATTTAGGCTATAACATTCCAAGGATGAGCAGTCGCATAATAATCTCAAGTGGTTTCACACTGAGGGCAGAAGTGGGCCTAACGGGTGGGTGTCAGGAAGGCAGATTTCAGGTCAGGATGCAGAAGAACTTTCCAGTAAATAGATAGCTGTCAAAATACCTGTCTCATGAAATCCTAGGTGTTGCCCTAGAGCAGTAATTTTTCGACTGGTGTGCCACAAGAATTGTTAAAACACGCAGTACCTGACTTAGTCAGGGGCACTGGCCTCTTTTCTCTTAGATTGTCAAATAAAAAAAAATGACAACCTTTGTTTTTTGTAAGATCAGCAAAACATAGAATTTATTTTTCCATGTGCCTCAGAATTTTAGTAATTGGTTTGGATGTGCCATGAGATGGAAGAGGTTGAAAATCGTTGCCCTAGGACAGGTGGGACACCCACTGGCAGACAGGCACCCACTTCCAGCAGGACTTTGTCCCAGGTGGACCTTCAAGGTGCTTTTGAACTTTAATGTCCTAGGATTTTTATTCCTAAACGACTTCTTGGCTTTTACCTATCCTTTTTGTTAGGTCTGGTCTAATGTTTTTCACTGCCTGGGCCTTTGGCCACTAATTTCCATAGCCGTGCATTGCCTAAAAGCACCCGAAACAGAAACAACTAAGAAATGTCCATACCAGACCACTCATCAAATGGAAGAGGGTATGGATATGAAATATAGCCTGATGCTTTTATTTCCTCGGTGCCTGCGATAATTGTGCCATAAAAACTTTATGTCCTCGGGCACTCTCAAGGAAGCAGTAAACATTTAGTCTGGGCAACTGCAGCTTTCAGGCCTCACCCACAAAATGCTATTCTCTGCCTTGATTAGTGCACAGAGGAGATGCTGTGGTAGGGACTGGATTTTATTTTTAAAACAGAAGGTATAATGAAAAGAATGCAAAAAAGATAGGTATTATAATCGATGTAGGTGTTTAAGAAAAGCAAATAAACAGGATCAGAAATTATAAAACATGTAAATTGGAATGATTCTTTGCATTATAAAATAATTATTCTTCCTCACTGTTAAGAAATGCAAATAGCCCTGGTCGGTGTGGCTCAGTTGGTTGAGCATCATCCCATGCAAGGAGAGGTCGCAGGTTTGATTCCTGGTTGGGGCACACGCAGGATTGTGGGCTCAATCCCTAGCAGGAGATGTACAGGAGGCAACCCATGGATGTTTCTCTCTCCCCCTTTCCCTTCCTCTCTCTAGAAATCAATAAAAACATATTTTAAAAACAGAAATGCAAATAAACAAGATCAGAAATTATAAAACAGAAACTGAAACGAATAGTTGCATTATGAAATAATTGTTCTTCACAGAATGCATTACAGGGTTTCCTTAAATACCCGTTTTCTCTACTCTATTTGAGAACTTATTCTCACATCACAAGCCAGACCCCAGATTTCTACATCTAGACCCACCTTCGTGGTCTCCAGCCCAGCTCCTTTGTTTACAGGTCAGGAGGCCAGGCCAGAGGGGAGCTCTGGAAGTCATTCTCGGGGTCACCTAGCCAGTGTGGGCAGAATCGGCAGAGGACCCCAACTCCAACCTCTTTCCACTTCCATCTATTTCTCAAGATCGAGGACACCATGCCACCAAATTCTCCTAAAAACTGGCTTCCTTTTCACTTCATTTCTTTGCTTTGTTCTGATTATTAAAACAATGCACATGCTTCCTAGTAAACTGGCAAATGCAAAAAATATATCAAAAAAGGAAATCCCCCCCAGAGCCACCATCCAGGGATAACCTGTCCCCATGCCGACCTCCAGGCTTTGAAG